GTGACGACAGGTTAGTTTAACTTATTAATTAAATCATCAAAAGTATCATTTGACAGATCAGACTCTCCGGACCATTGCACTGAACCAGTACTGTAGTTCTCATTAACCACATTATGCACCATGTGTATTCTTGCTGAAGTACTGACGTAGAGCATTCAGCTGCACCGCTGTTCTTCAGGGTCGTTCCTCGAGGGCGTCTCCCAGTCCTCACTTTCACCGGCATAGAATCTCAATTTCCACCGCTGTGGCACCTGGACGGCACCTGCACTAAACTACTGAAGGCAGGGGCTGGACATTTTGAAAGAATGAAGAAAGAAAATGACGTAATTTCATGTCACGGTGGTATTTTTGAATAAAAACACACATTGTTTGTGTTGTAAATGTGCAAATCTATTGACATTTCGACAAATAACAATGACATTACTCCATGGCCCTGTTGCATCATTGCTCCTCTCTCTCTCCTCTCACTTTGTCTCTCCCCTTCCCTCCCTCTTCCTCTCTCTCGTTCTGTCTCTGATTTAAGCCTCGGTGTTTGGGGGCCTCCTCAGAATGTCCCAATGCAGTCCACAGAGAACCTGTCCAACCAGTCTGACCTGCCCAGGGTGAGACGCTCCAGACACACTGTGACACCAACAACACAAACCCACAAACCCACAAACCCACAAACCCACAAACCCCGCTCCCCTCAACTCTGTACACACTGTATTTTTCATATTTACTCTGCTGTGTGCATTTTTGAATGGATCTGAAAGCTTTGAGTAGTTTTATGACAGAATATTACTTGTTTCTATTTGATTCCTCATACAGACATTTACCTCTGATGATTTTAATGCTGGTTGGAAAGTGTGTTTTTTTCTTGTTTACTACAATTTGTATGATGTTGTCTACTAGAGTCGTCGCTGTACCAGTGGATATACATAAAAAATAAATCTCTCTCAAATATATTCAAACGTTATTTAACATTACTTTCTTCAAACTTTGTACTTCTGCTTCACTGAGATATTTTTGAAGTAACAGTGTTGTAGTTTTATTGCAGTTTTTGGCTTCACATTCTGCCTGTTTTATGTGTTTAAATGTTTATTATATTGCATGTCTATGTGTTCTGTCTTTTATTCTGACAGGTCCCTGTGAACGAGTCCAGGCTGGTCATTGATAAAGACACTTTTGAGTCTTCTGTGGCCAAAAATGTCCTCCTGGTGTCTTTGGGACTGTCCTTCAACTACATCAATGGGATTTTGTTACACACGTACAGAAAACACCAGGTACAATAAACTGTTTTAACTGTTTTAACTGTGTATGACTCTGCGCTGGTACAAACGTAGCTGAAATGACTCAGTTCAGACTCTTTATTGTTTACATTGTCTGACATTCAGGTGAACCTCCAGATGTTTTACCTCTTTGGTCAATTAACTTGCATTTAAAATCTAATTGATACTATTTCAGTGAAGGTTTGTATCATTTTCAAAACATGAATAAATAAAACAGCTGCATCCTTGCCTCTTCAGGCTGATGTGGATCTGTTTACATGTTTTTGTAGTATGACGGGGAAGATTAAACTTATCTTATAACGATATTGGAGCTGCACTGGATCAAATCTTACACATACAGGTGCTCATCAGAGCAGAGGGCTTGAATTCTTGTTGAATAGAAAAAAGGATGGAAGAGGCTCTGACTTGTGGTGTGTTTATTAACTGTCACCAATCTTATCTTATCTAATCTTATCTTATTTTATCTTATTTTATGTTACACTGAGTTGATCTGACCAGGGATGAGCCATATCACAGTATTTGGCACTGATATGAAGTACTTTTGGAGAATACCTATAATTTTTCTGTACAGATTCAGATACTCGATGTCAGTCTGATCCTTATGAGTAAATTTAAATACATTTCATTTCATGTAAATATGAATAAAAGAGGGTTTCAAATGTTTTTTAAAGGACAAACAGTCAGACTGAGAGATCTGTCCAGGATGCACCTGCTGCTGTGTTCAGACACAAAACACTGAAGAAATGACCTAAATATGTTTAACATTTTAACACTGATCTAGTTTTGATATTTGCAGAACATTTGTGATATATCAATAGTCCCAGCCCTAGTTTTGACTTTGTAAAGCTTTAGTTTTGTTGCAGAAATGTTTTTTTGTTCCATTTGACCTGCTTCAACATATTTTAGATCTGGGGTCATCAAACTAAGGCCCGCGGGCTGACTCCGGCCCTCCACAATCCTTTCACGGCCCCCAGCCCCTCTGCCCCGCCACCTGAACAACCCCATGAGCCAGTCCTCAAAAGTGTCATGACCTTTTTTTTGTAATGTATTTTTTGGCAAATAACTCGTCTGCATCTTGTATTTTTTTCAATTAAAAAATTATATTTATATGAAGTATTTATATTTAAATAATACAATTTAATTTACATTTGCCGCAGAATTATTTTCTCCTGACGAACTCAAGATCAAACAGTGACAGTGACACGTGCAGAGTTCTGTAGTACAGTTAAGGACAACAAAATGGCCAGAGTTCAGAAAGTTGACAAAGAGTGTTAAGTTTTCAAAGAACAGTGGACGACCGATTATTTTTTTGTTCAGTGTGAGGATCGTGCAGTTTGTCTGATATGTAAAGAAAGTGTGAAGGTTTTCAAAGAATCTAATCTGTGTCGTCAGGATCAAACAATTCTGTTATACAACCCCGACCCCCATCACAGTCAGGAGCAAAACTGTGGCCCCCAGAGAAAAAAGTTTGGTGACTCCTGTTTTAGATACATTTGATCCTTTTAAATGAAAACAATGACCGAGACCTGAAGTGTCAAGTGAACAAACTTTGTGCATCTTTCATCACTTCAGTCTTTTAAACTCGTATCTTGTTTATTTTCAGATATTCTACACAAACCCTCGTTACATTCTGTTCGCTCACCTGGTTCTGAACGACATGCTCCTGTTGTCTTTAAGCATCGCTCTGTTTGTGTTGAGTAACACGTCTCATCCGGTGATCTGCCCCGTGTGTCTGATCCTGCTGTGCGTGAGCGTCCTGACCACACACAACACGCCGCTCAACCTGGCCGTCATGGCGCTCGAATGTTACATCGCCGTCTGCTTCCCCCTGCACCACCCCCAGCTCTGCACCATCCAGCGCACCTACGGCCTCATCGCCGGCATCTGGGCCCTGACCGCCCTCATCATCCTGCCGGACCTCTGCATCCTCGCGGTCACCAAGCCTCCGGAGTTCTTTTTGACGACAATGCGCTGCGAGAGAACCAATGTCTTCGATCACCCGGTCATCATGATGAAGAGGGACGTCCAGTACACCTTGTACCTGTCCGGAGTCTGGTTCATCCTCATCTACACGTACTGCCACATTTTCTTTGCGGCTCGAGCGGCGAAGTCGTCTGCACAAGATTCCAGAAAAGCGCGGAACACCATCCTGCTCCATGGCTTCCAGCTGCTCCTCTGCATGTTGTCGTACGTCGACCACTTCCTGCTCAGAGTTCTGATGATCTGGTTCCTTCAGTACATTCGTCACATTGCCTTTGTGATGTTTGTCATCGTCATGATCCTGCCGCGTCTCATCAGCCCCATCCTGTACGGACTCAGGGACAAGGTGTTCAGGGAGCACTTCACCAAGTACCTGGTCTTTACTGTCGTCATCAAGAGTTAGTTAGTCATTTTGGTGTAAGAAACATTGTTCTGACAAAAATGCTTTTTAGTGTCAAGATTTATTCAAATGTTTTGTGTATATGTTTTGTCATTAAATAAAGTCCTAAATAATGCTTTTAAATTATAAGAACAGTGTCAGTCATTCACAGAAAACATTTGGTTATTCAGAGCTTCTGGGGACAATAAACAGCTTTAAAAAGACCTAATAAAAGCAAATTCAAATCAAAATCCCGTTTGTTAATGTAGAGGAGCAGAAGACAAACAGACTGAGCTGCACTTTCTTGTTCTTGTGGTTTTACAGAAACATCACGTCTTGGTCTTTGCAGTGGAAGGTGTTTCTTGGTGAACAGTTGGAGACTTTCACTTTGGCGTTGACTTTTTAAATAACCAAGGTTGAACGAAGGATCAGGATTTTGTTTTGTCGTGGCTCCACATACAAAATGTTCTCTGTAAACTCGGGATGATTTCTTAGTCAGACAAATGTTTCCTTTTTGGTTCTTCCTGTGGATCAATCCTGCCCATCACCTTCACCTTTCACTATTTTTCAATTCCGTTGGGAAGAGAAACAGTTTGAACGGAGGTTTGAGTCACACACATCTGATTCACTTTTGCATTTATGGAGTTCACAAACTTCCAAAGCCTGTTTCTCGAGTCGTTTCCCGCTGTTTGGATCCAACAACCACACGATTACGATGTCCGAGTCCCAAAACTAAAATATGACAATATCAGAACCAGAAACAAAAGTGATATGGTTCAAAAGACTTAAAAAGATCGACTTTGACAATAGACACGTCCCACTGGGAAAACAAACATGGAGGTTTGATGATCACTTTTTGCACAATGACTGGAAGTCCAAAATTCATGATGCATGTATGTGCATGGCTTTAATTCACACTTCAGCTACTTATTAATGGTATCAATATCAGCAGCAACAAGTGCTGTAAACTTGTAAACAAGTTTGTGTGTTAGTTTCTGAGTAGTTTCAGTGCAGTTAGCTCCTCCCTGCAGACAGATAGAAGGAAGTGTGAGTCTGACATGAATGACTCCAAAACTTATGTAACTCCTGTCCATGTATGTATTGTGTATGTACTGTGACTTTGTATCGATGCATGTATGCATGTACATGTATCCCATGCTGTCACTTTATGTATGCCTTTGTTGTTTTGTCTTATGTTGTTGTATGTATTCTGTATGTATGTAATGTATGTATACTTTTATGTAAATGTATGTAAAGAAAAGGCACACGATCACTTCACACTTATCACCGTGTGTAACGCGCACTGACAATTATAAACCCAGTAGGTGGCGGTGGACGCAGCAGGTTGGACGCGAGCTGCCGTAAAACTCCACAAGAAGAAGAATCATGAGGAGCACGAGGATCATGTGACGGTCCCGTTCGTCACGTGATCGGCCTCTCTCCGGTGCTGTGGACTTTCCGGTGATCTGGAGCGGGCTCTGCGGCTCTCGTGTCCCCGGTGTGTCCGCTCTGTGCCCGCTCTGTGGTGGAGGATGCAGTTCCGCGCGGAGGAGGCGGCGGTGGTGGAGAAGGCCGTGCGTCTCGCCATCGAGTCCGTGATGAACGTGCTGTGCGCCGTGAACAGCGCGCGCACGCACGAGCTGCAGCGGCTGGTGGCGGACAAAGAGCAGGAGATCCGGAGGCTGGAGGAGCGGGTCCGGGAGGCCGAGGGGGAGCTGAGGATGCTGCGGCGGTGGTGGTCCCCGAGCCGCGCCCCGGAGCAGAGCGCAGGAGCGGGAGGAGCGGGAGGAGGAACAGGAGGAGACCCGGAGGACAGCGCCGAGCAGCGGGAGTGTGAAGTCCGAGTCTCCCGTGAGTCTGAACCCGGACCCAGACTGCTCCAACCCGGGCCCACACCGACAGGACCAGACACGAACAGAACCAGACACGAACAGAACCAGACTAAACCCAAAACTGAGACTCACTTTTTACTCTGTGGTCATCAAGATTTTCTGTATTTTGGCCAAAGAAATGACAATTTATGTTCCTGTTTTACTTTTCTCAGGGATCAGATTAGTCAAAATTTGTGAAAGTCCTGTTTTAGTCCTAGTTTAATCTTAGTTTAATCCTGAGGCCAGACCAGCAGGTTGGTTCTGGGTAGGACTTGGCAAAAAAAAAAACTGCTGTTGTGTCCTTAGGCAAGACACTTCACCCACATTTGCCTAGTATGAAAGTGATGTGTGTGTGAGTGATGGTGGTGGTGGTCGGAGGGGCCGATGGCGCAGATTGGCAGCCTCGCTTCCCTCAGTCTGCCCCAGGGCAGCTGTGGCTACAGTAGTAGTTTACACCACTGAGTGTGGAGTGACTGAATAATGAACTGTAAAGAGCTCTTTGGGGATCTTGAAAGGCGCCGTATAAATGCAATCAATTAATAATTAATAATCCTGGTTTAATCTTAGTTTGGTCCTGATTTATTCCTGGTTTAGACTTGATGTCGTCCTGGTTTAGACCTTGTTTTGTTTAGTCAAGTTTAGTCTGGTTTAGTTTAGTTTAGACCTGGTCTTTTGGGATCTTTTTAACTTTTAGTTGTGTAGAAATTGTAAATTCCAGCGCTGAAATGATCCAGATGATTCTAGTGAAAGTGTGTGGAGTTTAAAAACACAATCCTCTTTCACCACATGACGTCACAAAGTGGAACAGAGCGTTTTGAGAAAAGAACATGGTTTGTGTTTTTAGTGTGTTTAAAGAGAAAAGTGAAAAATGCATAGCACACACACACACACACACACACACACACTTTTCCATTTGGTCTTTGGTGGCTCTTTAAACATGTGTGAATGAACCAAAACACAACTCCAGGTCAGTTTATGATGAGGAAACGAGTCCCACCGTCTCACTGTCTCTCTGTCTCTGTCTCTCACCGTCTCACGTCTCCGTCTCTCTGTCTCTCTGTCTCTCTGTCTCTCTGTCTCTCTGTCTCCGTCTCTTTCGCAGTGGCTCTGATGACGGGAGCAGCTTCTCAAGATCCTCCTGAAGGACTGGAGCCGGACCAGACCTGCTCGCCCAAAGACCACAGCGTCCACGTCCCCGTCCCCCAGCCGCTCCCCTGTCCCCCGGAATCCCCCGCGTGCCCGTCTGAAGGTCCGGTCCCCCACGCGCCCCCCGGCTCCTGCGACGTCCCTCAGGAGCCGGCGTGTCCTCCTCCTCCTGAAGGACGGGCGGAGTCCCAGGGCCCCGGCGGGAGCAGAGCGGTGAAGCAGGAGCCGCTCTTCTCCAGCCCCGTGCAGATCAAGCAGGAGCCTTTCTGTCCGGACTACGAGTTTGTCCAACAGGAGGACGGGACCACGGTCTTTCTCCAGAGGGACATGAGCGAGGACGTGTCCCCCACTGTCCAGGGTAAGACGCCCGACCTACAGAGGGGAGCCTGGTTTAGTCCTGTTTTAGTCCTGTTTTAGACCTGGTTTAGTCCTAGTTTAGTCCTGGTTTAGTCCTGGTTTTAGTCCTGGTTTAGAGACCTGGTTTCCTGTTTTAGACCTGGTTTAGTTTAGTCCTGGTTTAGTCCTGGTTTAGTCCTGGTTTAGAGTTTTAGTCCTGGTTTAGACCTGGTTTAGTCCTGGTTTAGTCCTGGTTTAGAGTCCTGGTTTAGACCTGGTTTTCAGATCTAGTCCTGGTTTCAGATCTAGTTTAGACCTGGTTTAGTCCTGGTTTAGACCTGGTTTCAGATCTAGTTTCAGATCTAGTTTAGACCTGGTTTAGAGACCTGGTTTAGAAGAGTCTAGTCCTGGTTTAGACCTGGTTTAGACCTGGTTTAGTCCTGGTTTAGACCTGGTTTAGAGTCCTGGTTTAGACCTGGTTTTAGACCTGGTTTAGACCTGGTTTTAGACCTGGTTTAGACCTGGTTTTAGACCTGGTTTAGTCCTGGTTTAGTCCTGGTTTAGACCTGGTTTAGTCCTGGTTTAGTCCTGGTTTAGTCCTGGTTTAGAGAGATCCTGGTTTAGTCCTGGTTTAGTCCTGGTTTAGACCTGGTTTAGAGTTTAGTCCTGGTTTTAGTCCTGGTTTAGTCCTGGTTTTAGACCTGGTTTAGTCCTGGTTTAGACCTGGTTTAGTCCTGGTTTAGACCTGGTTTAGTCCTGGTTTAGTCCTGGTTTAGACCTGGTTTAGTCCTGGTTTAGACCTGGTTTTAGACCTGGTTTAGACCTGGTTTAGTCCTGGTTTAGTCCTGGTTTAGTCCTGGTTTAGACCTGGTTTAGTCCACAGGTTTGTTTTTGAGGAGGAAACAGTATTTGAACATGTCTTAAAACTCACATGAGTTGGTTTTGTGTGGTTTTATTGTTTTTTTCTGTAGATATTCTGGGACACGAGCTGTGGCAGAGTTCGGCCGCTGGACCTGAGGACGTCTCCATGTCCGTCCCTCATCCTGTGGCCGTCCTCAGGGGGTGAGTCCTGCACACACGTGGTTTTAGTCCAGGGACGTAGACCTGGGCAACTCATTTGTGTTTTTAATAATCAAGATTTAGAAAAACTGCAAAATCATGACATTGAAGATTATTATGAAACAAGTTCACTCCTGATTTTCTTATTGTGAAGCAGATTATTGTGCGATTACAGTTAAATATCTGTACAAATGTAATTTAAGGTGGTTAATAGTGTCTTAAATAACAAGATATGATAAAAATGAAAATGTAAAGAGCTTCCCCTGTTTAAATTTGTGCATCATTCGTTCATTTGTTTTTCAAAATAAAACCAAAAATAAGAAAACAAAAAAATTTATATATATTTTTTTCATTATTTGTCTCCAAAGCCAAAATGAAAAAAACAGATAATGATAAATTTTTTTTTTAGTTTTCGATTTTGTGTTTAAATGAAAAATGGAAAAAATTGACAACAGACTGAACCAGGACTAAACCAGGACTAAACCAGGACTAAACCAGGACTAAACCAGGACTGAACCAGGACTGAACCAGGACTGAACCAGGACTGAACCAGGACTAAACCAGGACTGATTGTCAGGAGCAGGACTGGAACTGGGACTAGGACTGAGACGGGGACAAGACCAGGACCGAGACCGGTTTAGTCCTGGTTTAATCCTGGTTTAGACCTGTTTTAGTCGTGGTTTAGTTCTGGTTTAGTTCTGGTTTAGTTCTGGTTTAGTTCTGGCGTCGCAGTTTAAGCCACGAAAACTGGAAACGGCCATTATCTATTTTTTCCATTATTTATTTAACCACAAAATCAAAAAATGAAAAAACAAATGATATGTGTATTTTCATTTTGGTTTTGGAGACAAATAATGAAGAAAAAAACAAAAATTTTTTTAATCTATTTTGAAAAACGAATGAACGAATGACTTGAGCTTTCCTGCTCTGACTTTGATTCAAATCTGTTAAAATCATAATTGTCCAGTGTCCAAAAAACTCAGAGTAACACTGATTTAAGACTCAGAGTTTTATTGGCAACAGAAGAGTGGGTCTTTGAAGGAGCCCGAGGTGTAAATGAAAACCAGACAACAGGATTGTAATTATTACACGTGTTTATTAAAGTGAGAGAATGAACAGAGCCTTTAACATTTGACAAATGAAATTATAAATGAAAAAAAATAACTCAATTTTTTTTGGAGAGAAATGAGTTCATCTGAAACAGTTTTTTTTTCATAAGAGTTCATGAGTGTATAATCCAGTTTGAGAATTGTAGTTGGTTTAATCTAGTGACGTGAGGATGAGGCCTCCAGGTGTGACACGTTTCATCACCGTGTTGATACTGTGTTGGTGCGTTCTGTAGCGCCATCTGCTGGTGTAAAAATTGAACTGTTTCCTCTGGAGAAGCTTTGACACAAGCGCAGAACTCGATCATTCAGACTCGTGACACTTATTTGTGATGTTCTGATATCAACAAATGAAAGAACTGACAGAGACGTGTGGTGTCATTAAAGCAGATCACAGCCTGTTGTACTGAGTTGTATTAAGTTGTATTACGTCGGCCAAGTGCCTGACACATGATGAGGTGAATACTTGTGAACATGATAGTAAAATAATAGTAAAAATACTATAGTTTTTTTCAGTAAATCTGTAGTGAGTTTCACTTGGGACTGATTAAACTGAGCCACACAGAACAGACCTGTGTTCTGTTTCTCTTTGCTCTACACGAGTCGCCTCAGAGACACCAAATCATACAGGAGATACATCGTCACGTGACTTTTCTTTAAGTGAAACACACAGACACAGCTCCGCACGGGCTCGTTTGGCTCATCACTAGTTTAATCCACAGTTTAATCCACAGTTTGAGAATCAGAATTTATGACTTACAGTTCGAGAAGCGGCAGGAGGAAAAAAGGAAACAGTTTCTGTGCAGTCGTTTGTCTCAACATCTGGTGTTTTGTTGAGTTTAGTTTTGTCATCGTGCGTTTGTGCTCTGAAAGCAGATTCACACTGTTATAATGTCACACAATATGAACACATCAAATTAATCCATGTGTAACACAAACTAGTGGTCAAAAGTTTTAGAACACCACACTTTTTCAGTTTTTACTGTTGACCAAAACATTCTAAACTTCTGATTCATGAAAGTCTCCACTAAGGAGCTTTATTTCTTAAGTAAAGTTCCATAAGAAATTTCATGAAATTTTCTTGATGTTTCCTGGATCCACCAAACCTCTGAAGTTTATCACCTGTGGCCTTAAATCTCATCTGAAAAATCAGTTTTTCTTCAATAACATAAAAAATAATAAATTTAGCCCAATAATATCAATGGAAGTTGAATATATTTGGTACCAGTTTTCTGTCTCTATCTTCATTAGTTTCTGAGATATGGCAAAAGTGTCATTTCTTTGGGACTTCAAGGACCTTGAATAAACAATTATTATAAAAAAATAATAATAATAATACAAAATATTATATTAAAAAACATAATTTTTTAAGTTATTTGAGAAAAACAGATTTTTCGTCTTATTGACGCCGGTGGGATGAACTCAAGAGTCTTGGTGGACCCAGCAGATGTAACAGCTGAACTCACTCGTGGCTCGTTCTTTTTACAACAGAAACCAAATATTGTTCAGAAAGTTCTTCTGTCTGTCGCAGAAGTTCCATAAATGTGTGCCTCTTGTTGGTTGCTTCACTCTTCAGTCCAGTTCATTCCAAAATCCCAAACCAGAACTTGTTTTCAAGCTTCACCATCTTGTTCTTTTGTCCTGAGGTGTTTTTGGCAGAACTTGGTGTTTTGTTCTTTTCTTTTTTTTTTTAAACCTTTGTCTGTTCAGTTTTTACCTTTGTTCCATTTCAAGCTCTTCTTCTTGGACTTGCACGACTTGAATTAAAATAAATAACTGGAAAATTATGGTGTTCTAAAACTTTTGACCAGCAGTGTACGTGGGATCACCAGCCCTGCAGACAAATGTTATCCCTCTCAGGCTCAAATTAATTTTTAGTATCAGGAAAAATCTTATATTTGGGGAAAATTATAATATGGGGTAGTAATATACAATCCTGACTTTTTTATCCTTTGTGAACAAAAGAAGTATTTTGCACTTGCAGGTCGTTTGTGTGTAGTTGTTCTTGCACAGTTTGCATCGTCCACGTTTATCAGCCTGGACGGGAGAAAAGGCTCCTGAGTAAAAAAAGCTCATAAAATATGGATTTGGAGTAAGTAGGTAATTGGAATTTAGCTGTTGCAAATCTGCAACGTCTGCCTGGAGAGGGTAAAAATTTGAAATACTAATGCTTTTCCGATGAGTTTTTTAAGAATCACCTCTGATCTGTTTCTTCGTCTCTTGTGTCTCTTGTCTCTTGTGTCTCGGTCGAGCAGGAAGTCGGCGGTGCCCAGGAGGGATCAGTCTGAGGAGGCCATGCGGCGGCGCAGGGCCTCGTGGAGAGCGGCGTCCCGGAGGTATTACGCCCGTAAGATGGCGCGGCTCCACACCCACGCGCCCGGCAGCTCCGCCCCGGGAACCTCCGCCCCCCTGTACCCCCCCTGCCACCCCGGGCCCCAGAGCGGCGTCCACCTCCAGCCCCACAGCCAGCCGTGGTCGTCCAGGGGCTACTCCTCGTGTGAACTGACCCCGGACCCCCTCAGACCCCTGCAGGAGCTCCAGAGACCCGCCCAGGACTGGCCCAGACCCCCCACGCAGAGCGGATCAACACTTCTGTGACACTACTTAAAGCTCCAGTGTGTAACTTTACTTTTGGAGGCTTCGTCAAATGCTTTTTTTTCATGGAGATGTTGTTGCTTTGTCTTGAATGTTCCACAGTGTGACTTTAAACAGCTCCACTTCAATATTACAGGTGGTTTTATAGCTCAAAAACGCCTCAAAAAACAGATAGAAGATAGAAACTGTGGAACATTCCAATCTTCATGGAGACCAAAGCCAGACCAAGATCCAGGTCAGATCTGTGGAGAGGCGACCCCACTCACACTCACAATGTTTGTTTTTCGAGGTGTTTTTGAGCGAATAAAACCACCTGTAATATTTTTTTTTAAAGTTTAAAGTCACACTGTGGAACATTCCAGGCAGAGTAATGACGTCTCCATAGAAACAATCAGGTGATGGACCCTGCAAACAAAAAGTTACACAGTTCATAGTTCATTCCTGCACTAAAGGACAGAGTCGACTTTCACATTTCCTCCAAACTCTTCATGTTTACAGGTCTCAGTCTTAAAGCCGCTCTGCCTGATTTTTACTCTAAAAACTACAAAACTTTACATCCGTCAGTTTTCTTCTGCTTTTCCGGGGTCGGGTCGCGGGGGCGTCAATCTTAGCAGGGACTCCCAGACTTTCTTCACCCCAGACACTTCCTCCAGCTCCTCCGGGGCAACCTCGAGTCATTCCCAGGCCAGTCCAGAGACATCGTCCCTCCAGTGTGTCCTGGGTCGTCCCCGGGGCCTCCTCCTGGTGGGACATGCCTCCTCGACGTGGAGGAGCAGCGGCTCTACTCCGAGCTCCTCCTGTGTGACCGAGCTCCTCACTCTGTCTCTAATGCCGGACGTAAACTGTTTAATGTTTTCGATCGTTTCATTCAGCCTCAGCTCAAACTGTTCGACTAAATCACAGAGTTTAAAAGTTCACAGATCATGATTCATGTTCTCACACTGAACGAACGACTTCAGCAGAGAAACTGGCCACTGGATTCAAACAGGTTTGATTTTCTTGCAACCTACGATTGCTGATCGGGAACTGGTCGTGAGGTAATACCGTGATTTTTCGGACTATAAGTCAGTCCGGAGTATAAGTCGCACCAGCCAAAAAATGCATAATGAAGAAGAAAATAAACATATAGTGTCACTTTTTGGGGGAAATGTATTTTATAAAACCAGAGATCAGGAGCAGACATTTCCTGTGTAAAGTGAAGTTGTAGTAAAAACACTAGAAGAGAGAAGAACAGACTGTTAACGTCACATATTTCACAGTTCTTCAGATAAACTATAAACAACAGAACAGAACAAGTTTAACCAAACTCTCCGTCTCACTCCAAATCAATAAATCACTTCAGTTCTTCATCCTCATGTCACTTCTGAACAACTCGACCTCCGGAGGGAAACAGAGCGACGCAAACTCTTCTGTGTCGCTGTCGTCAGACTCAGACTCAGTTCCAGTTCAGGCTGTAACAATTTCCAAATCTCACGGTTGGATATTTATTTCAGTATTTTGGAGAGGTTAATATAATTGTAGATGTGACACTTTTTTACTTTTAAAAACACCTTGACAAGATTTTGGTGTGAATTATTTCCGTCATAATCCCAAGAATTCAAGTAAAAAACATGTTTCTTCATGTTTTCTGTGGTGAAATGAATCATGGGAAATGTAGTTCCTGATGTTCATAATCTATCAGTTCTATAAAACTATGAATTTAAGCAAAGGAACTTGTGATTCGAGATATTGTGACAGTCCACGATGTTATTGTGAGACTTTTGACGATATTTCAGTTACTGTTACATCCCTAGTTCCAGTTAGAATTATCGGGGTCTTTCTGAATCCCGACAGGATGGTTTCGGCGTCACTGAAGTCCAGACTTTGTCCATCACCCAGTGACTTCAGGAAAGTTTCATGGTTCATCCTCCACAAGTCACAAGTTTCTCTCTCACTCTAAACTTTCTTTCTGCTGCTCCATTTCCGTTTTCAGCAGCAGATTTCACGACTCGCAGCAGGACAGTGTTTTTTCCTGCAGGAGACATGCTCAGTAAAGGGTCTGTGACTTTACTGCGCTATGACTGACACAGGAGCGTGTACAGGAGTAACAGTCGCACTAGACACTGACACACAAGACTAGAGCCTCTCGCGACTGTCAGTGTGAAAATTTAAATATATAAATCACACCAGAGAATAAGTCACAGGAAACATCCAAACCATGAATAAAAGTGCGACTTATAGTCCGAAAACTACGGTAATCGGTTCTCGTTACTCCATGTTTACTGCACGAAGCACGACACACGATTATGTGAAAACTCTGATCCCAAAAACAGACGCACGAGTGAAAAATCGTCTCAAAAAAGGTCAAAAATCACACAGTGTACGTCCGGACTTGGGGATCTTAAATCCATGTTTTATAAGTTAAAAGAGTCGATTAATATTAAACTGAACAGAGTTGCTGTTGCTGTTGCAGTTGTTTTGTTCGTTCTGGGTTTAACTCTACGTTTGTGCGATGGTTGAAACTGGTTTAGTCCTGGTTTAAGACCTGACCTGGTTTAGACCTGGTTTAGACCTGGTTTAGACCTGGTTTTAGACTGGTTTAGACTGGTTTAGACCTTTTAGACCTGGTTTATGGTTTAGAAAGAATGGTTTTTAGGTTTTTAGACAGTTTCCTGGTTCCTGGTTTAGACCTGGTTTAGTTTTAGTGGTTTTCTGGTTTACCTTGGTTTTACCTCCAGACCTCCAGACAGACCTTTTCCTGGTTTAGACCTGTTTCCTGTTTAGTTTTACATGTTTTACACGAAGATTCCTGCAGCGTTTTTTTAGAACGCTTTTTTATTTTATTAGACAAATTTTAAAACACAAATGAACAGGATGTGGATAAAAGGAAAAAAACAAAACAATACAGTGACGTTTAGATGAAGAAAACCGGGGCATTTTCTCCCAGATTTTGTCAAACAATAAAACCAGATTCAACTCAGCATCAACTTAGACCTAAACAAGGACTAAAGTAGGACTATACTAGGTCTAAACCAGATTAAATGAACTAAATCAGTTCCAACCCAAGACAAAATTTTGGCTAAACCAGATCTAAACTAGGACTATACCCAGACTATACTAGGTCTAAATCAAAACTAAATTGGGTCTAAACCTGGGATAAACAAGGACTAAACTAGGACTAAATGAAGACCAAATCAAGTTCTAAATAAGGAGTAAACCGGGACTGTACCATGTCTAAACCAGGACTATACTAGAACAAAATCAGGACCAAATCAAGATAAAATTTTGTCTGAACCAGGATTATTTAAATCAGTTTTAAATAAGGATTAAATTAAGATTAAACAAGGTCTAGACCAGAACTAAATCAGGGCTAAACCAGGACTATACGAGGTCTAAATCGTGACTAAATCAAGTTCTAAATAAGTATTAAACCAGGTCTAAACTAGGACTACACTAGGTCGAAACCAGGTCTAAATAAATCAGGACTAAACCAGTTCCAAACCAGGACAATATTTTGGCTAAACCAGGACTATTTTATGTCTAAATCAAGATTAAATCAGTTCTAAATAAGGACTAAACAAGGTCTAGACCCAGACTAAATAATGAGTAAACCAGGACTGTACTAGGACTAAACCAGGTCTAAACCAGGACTAATTCAGGACTAAACCAGGACCAAACCAAGACATTTTGGCTAAACCAGGATTATACCAGGACTATTTTAGGGTTAAATCAAGACTAAATCAGTTTTAAATAAGGATTAAACTAAGACTAAACAAGGTCTAAACCAGAACTAAATCAGGACTAAACAAGGTCTAAACTAGGTCAAAATCAAGACTGAATCAGGTCTAAACAAGGACTAAATCAGGACTAATCCACATTTATACTAGGTCTAAATCGAGAATAAATCGGTTCTAAACAAAGACTAAACCAGAACTAATCCAGGACAAAATTTTGGCTAAACCAAGTCTGAACCAGGTTTAAACCAGGATCAAACCAGGTCTTCTAAACCAGGACTATACTAGGTCTAAATCAAGACTGAATCAGTTCTAAATAAGGACTAAACCAGGACTAAACCAGGTCTAAACTCGGTCTCAATAAACAGTTTATAAAAGTGAAAAAGAAAGACTACAGTCACATGTTGATGAAGAAAACTGGGACATTTTCTCAGTTTTCCCAGATTTTGTTCGAGTCGCCAACAGAACCAGAGGAAATCTTCATCCACATGTTTCCAAACGTCGACCGTCCCAAAGTCCTGACCAGACCCGGACCTGCCCGTCTGACGTCTGAAGGTTGAACATCGAAGTCGTCGCTGTGTCAAACCTCTGTTACATGTTTGTATCATGTTGTTTCTCGTCTCCTTTTTTTTTTTTTTTTTTGTATTTATTTATTTTGTGAACATAAACGAGAATCTCTAAATCTGCTGCGTCGTGTCGTGTTTTCCCTGAGCTCCTCCTGTGGACTTCACCGTCCAGCGAGAACCCAGGAGCTGAAAGACTCACATTTAACTAGTTTTGGTTGAAAAAATAAAAGAATAATTTAAAAAAAACGCACGTTCTCCCGTACAGCGGATGGACCGTGCCTCTTCCCCTGCGCCTCTAAACCAGGACTAAACCAGGACTAAACCAGGACTAATCCAGGACTAAAACCAGGTCTAATACCAGAACTAAACCAGGACTAAAACCAGGTCTAAACCAGGACTAAACCAGGACTAAAACCAGAACTAAAACCAGGTCTAAAACCAGGTCTAAAACCAGGACTAAACCAGAACTAAAACCAGAACTAAACCAGGACTAATCCAGGACTAAAACCAGGTCTAAACCAGGACTAAAACCAAGTCTAAACCAGGATTAAAACAGGACTAAACCGGGACTAAACCATTAGGCTCAGACTGTGAATGATTGATCGATGATTCTGCATCATTTTGAGTAAAAGAAAAACAAAAACATCAAATATTACTGATTTTTACTGGGCTGGTGCTTTTATGTTTAAAAAAAAAACAAAAAAAAAAACCTGGGTGTAAAAAGCATTTTTGTGTAGGATCAGCTGGGTGCCCGTCTATGTGCCACGATAAATACACCCGGGGTAAACAGCATCTGCCAAAAAAAAAAAGAACTCACCTGAACACAGCAGTAAAAGTATCATTTGAATGAGCTTCTGCTTCCGAATTTGCAATAAAAATAATAACGAACCAAGTGGAGAGTGAAGAGTCAAGTCTTAATTGTCTTTATGAGTTTTAGCAGAACAAGGACTTCCTCTTAATGATAATAAGTAATCACAATGATTGTGTAAAATATTCAATGTTGGGAAGGTTATTTTTAAAACATATTCCCCTGCAGATTACAGATTACACACACCAGAATGTAGTTTGTAACAGTAGTGATGTGACGTTCCGTGTCGAGTCTTCGAGGCGTGTGTCGAGTAGAGGAGGAGGGGGCGTTTCCGCGAAGCGCTTATCGAGGCTTGATTCATTTAGGGGAGGAGCTGAAAATGATGACGTCCGAAGCCTCGCTGCCCGGCTGCACCACGTGACTGATTCAGGAAGTGGTTCGGGTTTTGCCGCGAGTTTTGACAGCGAAATAAACTGCTCAGTCTTCATTCAAAATGTGGGTGTTTGATGGAGAGTTGAGATCAGTGAGAGTTTGGAAGTTTGGAGACAGTTTAAACTCACAAAAAAACAATTCTTATTTCTTAGGTAACGACCTGTGGCGTCGCCTGGATGACAGAGTCAGACAGACACAAACACAAAATGTAACAGCAGACGCACATACTGAGGTCCAACGGTGCAGGATGGAGCCAAATACTGGAAGGCTGGAGGACCCCCTTCAATACTGGGAGAGACAGAAATATGTCTATCCCCATTTATATAAATTAGCAGTGGCATTCTTGTGTCCGCCTGCCTCATCTGTGCCCTGTGAGCCGGTGTTTTCGAAAGCAGGAGAAATATTGTCAAAAAAAAGAAATGGCCTGAGACCTGCCACAGTGGAGAAACTGTTGTTTTTAAATAAAAACCAATGATGTGTCCCTGAACCATAATCACCCAACGTTACAAAAGCACAATCACTGTCCAAACTCCAACCCCAACCCCCCTCACCTCACTGGAAATGATCATTAGCTTTTTCATAATTTCCAAATAATAATGTTCCATACTGCCAGTATATATATATATAAAAGTATTTATATTTATATATATATATATACACACACAGTATACACATCACTACAATATACATGTTTTGCATACTTCTTTACTTTGCTGACAGTTTTATTCACAGACTTTCTGCAAAATGCAACACACTTCAAATTCATGTCAACTGATATTTTTTGCATCCAGTAGATGTTCTACTAGAGCAAATGAAGCTTCAGGAAGCTTTGCACCAGAGTGAAGCAACTGGATGAAAGGCTTCAATGCTTCATGAAGCTTCATCTGCCCATCACTAGTAACAGAATCCATTAAATTACTTAAAGTGAGTAATGTAATCTGATTACTTTGGATTACTCGATTTGCTGTAGAGAAACAAAGACGAGGAAATCTTCACATAAGAAGTTTTATCTGATAAAAGAAAATAAAAAGTCCAGACTTTACTGAACCAAATTAAAAATATTATTGATAGAAAACTGTTACGAAATCACTGGTCGGACCCAAATATGCAGTAACAAAAATAGTCGTGGACGGGGGATTGATTCCAGGGGAGGTGGGACGGGTCCAGGTTGGCTGAAGTGCAAAGGTGAAGAGGCTGAACAGAGGCTGAGGAACAAGTGGTGACAGGATGAGACTGGCTCCAAAACGGTTGAACTGGGGAACGGACAAAAGTAAACAGATAAGAGACAAAAACCTTCAAAACGCTCAAAACCACAAAAAGCCTGAGTTGTTCACCACTTGGTTGACGGAACGACCTGACACTGGAGCAGGTCAGCAGGTCTTTTATTGCCGGAGATGATTATTGACGAGGATCAGGAGTGGAGCTCAGCAGGTGAGTGATTGGGGTCGTCCAGGAAAAAACCACATAGGGTAAAGGAGAGAAAGAACAGGGGCAGGAGGGGCAGGATGAAACCCTCACAAAGACGAAGAAACACGTCCACACAGCAGGATTTAGTCCTGTTAAATCCTGTTTTAGACCTGGTTTAGACCTGGTTTAGACCTGGTTTAGTTTCTGGCAATGAGTGGAATTACCGAAAAAAAGGAAGAAAAAAAAAAAAAAAAAAGGAATATAGCCCAAAATGTGAAAACGGGAAAATCCCTCTGTATAATCCATTTATTTCAACAAAGTAACTGTAATCCAATTACCACTCACTGAAACAGTAACTGTAACTGAATACAGTTACTCATCATTTGTAATCTGAAAATACTTCTGTATTTGACACAATCATTGCAATTGCTTTTTTTGTGTTCCTCATCTGACAAAGGAAAAGGTGATGTTGCCGCTTGTATTAATAACTTATTCAAATATCTGTAAATCTGCTCTAAATCTAGTGTTTGGAACATTTAAAGTTACCATCTGTAGTGTGGAGAATCCCTCAGTCGTGCAGGTCGAATCCACGAGGAGAAAATTCAGTTTGTCGACTGGACAAAAGTTAGTTTGGTTGAAGACGTTTCTCAGCTCATCCAAGCTGCTTCTTCTGAGAAACACAACGGAAAGTGTGGAATTTCTTCTACAAATCCTGGTTAAATCCACATTTGTGCTTCGGTTCGTTACAGACTGACCCACTGTTTGTGTCTCGCTCCTTCTGATGCAGAGACACATGTACACACCTGTTTGGTCACGACACACAAACATACATTCGGTTTGTCGATTAAAATTAACGTAATCGATGAGTTTCTTAATGATCAATTATTGATTAATCGACTAATCCTGCCCATCCATAGTTGTTGAACTTGTTGAGTCCACGGTTTGTTAGGATCTTCTACGTTTGCTCTGCGGATGTTTGAAAGTCGTTTAATTCACCGTTAGTGGTTCTTTTCACTCAGAATACGACAAAGACATTTTCCTTCTTCCGTGTTTCTATTTGTGCGTCCGATAATGCAGCAGGAATTTACCATTATTTAGGATAAATACGCGAGGTTACGCACTGTGTTTGACGCTACCGTGTTTCTTGCCTCCGACCAAAATATTTCCCAGCAGCAACGCGGGATTTTAATAACAATGACGTCAGCTGAAACTCGACTATAATGTTAAAGAGCAACAACATCACCTTTCCCTTTGTTGTTGTTTTGTCTGTATGAGGAACACAAAAAAAGGCAGTTGCAATAATTGTGTCAAATTCAGAAGTATTTTACACAGTAATTGCAATTAATTGTGATCATGAAGAGGAAGTCAATGTTCCTCTAAAACTCATAAAAACTCATACTTAAGACTCGACTCTTCACTCTCGAGTTGGTTCGTTCAGGACGACACTAACAGCCCAAGGATTATTTTTATTGCAAATTCTGAAGCTGAACATGCTCCTTCAAATTCTACAACTTTTACTGCTGTGTTCAGGTGAGTTAAGCTTTTTTATTATTATTTTATTTTTTCAACCAAGACTCATTAAATAAAGAATAATTTATAATGTGTATTTATATTCAGTGTTTGTAAGAACAGACATCAGTATTTGGTGAACGCCTGTGTTTACTCATGTGTTTTCTGTTTGTATCATTTTAACTCTGTGTGTTTTACAGGTGCTGATTGTTGTGGAAGTGGTCTGTTCATTACAACTCCAAGTCCAGTTGAGGCTCTGAGTGGCTCCTGTTTGTGGATCCCGTGCAGCTATAAACCTAAACCTCCATATGACATAAACACTACAAACCCTGTCACTGGGATTTGGCTTAAACATGATACAAATATAAATAACAAGTTTTCAAAGAGTGGAGACCCCAGTTTGTCTTATCCCATGAATATCACTGGGAACCTGAAAAACAAAAACTGCTCCACAATGTTTTATGATTTAAGCAAAATCCATGAAGACAGGTATTACTTCAAAATAAACAACAGTGCTCTTAGAGCTATAGATGTTTGTGACCCTCTTCAAATAACAGTCAGAGGTAAGACACATTTGCTATTTAATCTAAGTTTAATGATGAAAAAACATTCAAACCTGTTGATGTTGATTGATAGATTCATTGTTTTGTTGTCATTAAATGAAAAAAACAAATAATAAAATATAATTAGCAGCTCTGACAAGACACAGTACAGATGAAAAACACAACATTTACAACAGAGAATTATTCAGCACATTGATATGTGTGAGAAACAAACTGTTATTATTGATCTGTAACATCTTCCTCCAGAGGAGGAGCTCATGTGTCTGTGCGACTTAAAGGTTGTATGGAGGATTTTGTTTGTTTCAAATTGTCAGTGATAGATTATAGATGCAGTCGCCTTGTAATTATGATGACCAAAAAAAAGAGAATAAAAATTCATCAACTCTGGACGTGGTGGGGCTAAACATTTGCCAATAGATAACGACACTGCCTCGTTATCTGTGAGCTGACAGGCTGTCAATCAAACTCCCTACGTTTCTAGTGTAACTGACTTGCCTGCGCCGCCGGTACGTGGTTTATGTACGACTGTCACACAGTCCACAGACGCAAGACGCACAGACGCTGTTTACTCCACCAACGCAACAGTTCTTAGAGGCTTTTTTGACCTATATCTTCCTCGCAGTTCGCACAAAGTTTGTTGCGATGGCGACAAGAATCCAGGAGCAGTTCGCCGCAAAAGAAAGTCTGTTTTTGAGGTGAAAGAAGAAGACAAGGGGAAAAGCAGCGAAGCCAAACTAAGGTGATTCTTGAAGATTCATTCCAGCGATGGCGCGACTGAAGCAGACGAAGGGTCTAAAGACTGAACCACTGGTCCACAAATTACTCCTGGACAGGAAACTTCTGCTTATTATGAAAACGTACTTTATTTCCAAGAGCGAGACAAACGTTTTTCAGGACACGAAAGCGATATCCTATGTCTGAAAACTTAATTTTCAATGCAAAGAAAGAGTCCGCTTGCTGCTGCGTGTTGTAGCTAGTTCATTCTCACTGAATCTCCGCGCACCTTCTCTGCTCTTCTCCTCGCTCCTCACTTCTCCGTCTTGTCTAACCAACACTGTAGTTAGTTGTTTACGAGTCATGTGCAGCGGCTGTAAACAAACCTGTTTCTGGCGTAAAGAGGAGGAGGGAGGAGGTGTTTCTACGTAGGAGCTGTAGGGGAGGGGAGGTGGTTTCACGCAGGAGCAACATTTGAAAAAGGACAAACAGTCGCTGGATTTCTCGTTCCTTGGAAAATCCTCTATACAACCTTTAAAGGACGTTGAAAATGAAATGTATTTTCTGTTTTATTGTCCTTTGTGTCATGAGCTGCTCTGTCACTTGTGTCTCATGTGTCTCACTGTTGGTTTCTGTGTCTGATCAGGAGAGACTCAAGTATCTGTTGAAATTAGGGCAAAAATTTTTTTAAAAGTATCGCATTAATCGCATGAGTTTGAGTGATTAATCGTGACTAATCATGATTAATCTCATGTTATACACAAAACCAATTAATGAATTAAAAAGTGGAGTATAGTGACTTTTATTGGAAATGTAAATGAAAGAGCCAAACTTTTGTTGTGTAAACAGCATTTCTTTCACAGGGAACCTCAGAGTCTTCAAGGTTTTCTGAAGGCTTAAGAAAAAATATTGAATGGACTTTTGTACTTCTAATATATCGACTGAACGACCGAACCCGCGAGCGAATCTGCGTCTCACAGAGGCTCAGACACGTTACATCTCACGTGGTCAGAAAAAAGTGAATAAAGTGTAAAGAAAAGACGTCAAACTTAAAGAAACACTCGCGGTGGATTTTTTCAAAATAAAAGCCAGTGAAAAACAGACATTTATAATAAAATAAATACATAAATTAAAAAAACTGCGTTAACGGTGTTCAAATAATTGTCGGCGATAATGACTTAATTAGTTAAGGCAAAATGATGGTGTTAACGTGCCCGGCCCTTGTTTAAATGTGATGTTTTTAAGTTGGTCCAGTTTGTGTTGAAAGTCTGGGACCTCAGTAAAAGGACACTTTATGTTTGATGTGTGATCTGTCTGTTTATTCAATATTATTTATTAAATAAGTACAATAAACTAAACTAAACTATAAATGTTCATCTCTGAATAACAGTTTATTTTACTTCACAAGTTTGATGCTTGAATGACATTTTCACTCTTGGACTGTGCACAGTAAATAACCTCCACTCACATCTGAGCAGCATCAGTTTAGTTCTTCACTTTAATACATTTTTTAGATGAATGTTTTCTCCAAATGTTTTTCCTCTTCCCAGACTCTCCCTGGAGCCCCACAGTAAAAGTCTGTGGTGAACAGACAGAGTCAGAGGTGGTGACTATAACCTGCTCAGCTCTCACTCCCTGTCCACACGCCCCTCCTCAGCTCACATGGGACCTGCACCAAGACACCGCCCACATCACAGAGACCAACACAGACGGGACATTTACCACTAAAATCACACAGAACATCACTGTGACAGACGCCCACGATGGACTCATGATAAAGTGTAAAGCATCGTATCCTGTGAGTGGAGGATTCAAAACGTCCGACAGTAACGTCACTCTCAGTGTCTCATGTGAGTGAACCACACTGATGGATTCTCTCTGTTCTGGTGATACGTTGCTAAAAATGTATTAAATGGAGATGCAATTTGTCTGAAATGTTCCACAGTATGGCATTAAAGTTCCCTGTGTGTCCTCAGATGGTCCTAAAGACACGTCTGTTGGGGTCAGTCCGTCCGGTTCACTGTCAGCAGGTCAGTCAGTGACGCTGAGCTGCTCCAGCAGAGCCAAGCCTCCTGTCCAGCACTTCACCTGGTTCAGACACACTTCACAGGGACCAGTCAGTGTGAACCAGGGACACACGTACAGCTTCAACATCACTGAAGAGGGACACTACTATTGTGTGGCCTCAAACACACTTGGAAATGGATCATCTCCAGACATTACACTGAGTATAACTATTACATCATCTCTGTGGCATTACATCATACATATAGTGACTCATTTACACTTGTGTAAGTCTTAATGTGAGTTATATCTCACTGAAACCAGTTGTTGCTTTTTTAGAATTATTAGAATATTAAAATGTTAATATTATAAAAGAATAGACGCATCAAGAATCTTGGACTTCTGGTCATCGTACAATTCACACTGGGAAAGATTCTCCGAAAAAGTGAGCATCAAACCTCCATGTTTGTTTTCCCAGTGGGACGTGTCTATTGACAAAGTCGATCTTTTCAAGTCTTTTGAACCATTTCACTTTTGTTTCTGGTTCTGATATTGTCTTATTTTAGTTTTGGGATTGGGACGTCGTAATTGTTGTGGTTGTTGGATCCAAACAGCAGAAAGCGACTCGAGAAATGTGTTTGTGAATCAGATGTGTGTGACTCAAACCTCCGTTCAAACTGTTTCTCTTCCCAACGGAATTGAAAAATAGTGAAAGGTGAAGGTGATGGGCAGGATTGATCCACAGGAAGAACCAAAAAGGAAACATTTGTCTGACTAAGAAATCATCCCGAGTTTACAGAGAACATTTTGTATGTGGAGCGACGACAAAACAAAATCCTGATCCTTCGTTCAACCTCGGTTTGAATTTAAAAAGTCGACGCCAAAGTGAAAGTCTCCAACTGTTCACCAAGAAACACCTTCCACTGCAAAGACCAAGACGTGATGTTTCTGTAAAACCACAAGAACAAGAAAGTGCAGCTCAGTCTGTTTGTCTTCTGCTCCTCTACATTAACAAACGGGATTTTGTACACTATACTTAAAGTGCGTGTGCCAGGTACCTGAGGTAGACTTCGTTACAATAAAAGGAACGCAAAAGTAAAATTCCAGCTGGTGAAAGTGCTCGTGCTGAGGAGGCCTATTTGGGCGAAAGTGACTTGTGCCAACTCTGAGACAACTGACCTCACACTGCACTGACCCCCTGACCAAATATTGCACTTTCCCTCCAAGACCTCGGCTACTGTTAAACATTCAATTTAAAACCAACACTAACAGGATAAAGAATAAAGAGCAAGAATAATGCAAAGTGGTGATCTGTTACACAGGGAAAAAGAAATGAGCTTCAGGTAGAGCATCAGCGACCAACACCCCAGATATACAACCAAAGAGCATTTACCGCAAATTTAGAAGGGGGAGGGGGGCGCTCTACATGGGGCTCGGAGCGCGTTACGAGCGGCCGCCGGCACCACCGCCTACTCCAGACAACCTTTAAAATGTAGTCAGACACATCGCATTAAAGCAAATTCTGTAAGAAATATTAAAACAACAAATCCGGTACTTACACGCGCTGCCTTCAGAAGCCACCGAAAGCCCCGACTGCCACCACGGCGTGCGCAGCCTTTTCTAATCGCGCAATCAGTGACGCCGCGAGCCACGCGCAGCGACGCACAGGTGGACGCACCCACGGACGCAACACAGCAGGACAACATAGTCCAATCACCCGGTTACACAAGTCCTCATCACTGCACATGACCTGTAAACAACTAACTACAGTGTTGGTTAGGTGAGGCGGCGAAGAGCGGAACGAGGAGCGAGGAGAGGAGCAGAGAAGGTGCGCTGAGATTCAGTGTGAATGAAACTACTACCAAAACACGCAGCAGCAAGCGACTCTTTCTTTGCATTGAAAATGATGTTTTCAGACATAGGATATCACATTCGTGTCCTGAAAAACGTTTGTCTAACTCTTGGAAATAAAGTAGGTTTTCATAATAAGCAGAAGTTTCCTGTCCAGGAGTAATTTGTGGACCAGTGGTTCAGTCTTTAGACCCTTCGTCTGCTTCAGTCGCGCCATCGCTGGAATGAATCTCCAAGAATCACCTTAGTTTGGCTTCGCTGCTTTTCCCCTCGTCTTCTTCTTTCAACGACCTCAAAAATGGACTTTGTTTGGCGGCGAACTGCTCCTGGATTCTTTTCGCCATCGCAACAAACTTTGTGCGAACTGCGAGGAAGATATAGGTCAAAAAAGCCGCTAAGAACTGTTGCGTTGGTGGAGTAAACAGCGTCTGTGCGTCTTGCGTCTGTGGACTGTGTGACAGTCGTACATAAACCACGTACCGGCGGCGCAGGCAAGTCAGTTACACTAGAAACGTAGGGAGTTTGATTGACAGCCTGTCAGCTCACAGATAACGAGGCAGTGTCGTTATCTATTGGCAAATGTTTAGCCCCACCACGTCCAGAGTTGATGAATTTTTATTCTCTTTTTTTTTGGTCATCATAATTACAAGGCGACTGCATCTATAATCTATCACTGACAATTTGAAACAAAAAAAATCCTCCATACAACACAACACATTAATAAGTGAGTAAAAAAGTCAAACTGATTCTTCTGATTTATTTCCAGCTGGATTAGAGCAATTTACCTCAAGAAACAGGAACAGGTAAAAGTTTTATGAACACACTTTTGTCACACTGTTTAACTTCCTTCTCTCTGTCGTCTCATCCACAGAAACCAGAGGCAGCAGCAACTGTCAACTGTGCCGCTGTAAATCAATCTTAAAACCCTGTGTGTGTTTACTTGTTTATGTTGTGTTTTATTTATCATGTACCTGCAAACCAATCAGTTTATATCCAATATGAATTGTGCATTTATAAGTGAACAATTACTGCATGTTTGTGATCCAGTAGGTTTATGTCTGAATCAACCTCGTAAAATGATTTATGGAATTTGTCAAAACATAATTCCAGCCTGAAGAAGAATCACTGATAACACAAAGTGAACATTTACTTTGGATTTCTGCTCTTATTATATTAAATCAACTGTAAATGTAAATTCAATTCTTTATGTTTAATAAAGTCATGTTGACGTCTTTTTCTGTTGGATTTTTTCAGTAGCAGCAATTTAGGCCTAATGAATCATTTCTCTCCATGTTGGAATAAAAAGGCAAAGTTTGTGTGTAAAGGAAAGTATCTACATTTGTCAAAGTTGAACTGAGGTTTTGATGAATAATAATTTTCAATACCAAATGACTCCAGTAGGTGTCAGTAACGGCACAGTTAAGGCAAACTCACTTCTTGGGTTTAGTAGAAACGGCGCAGTTTAGTGTAAAATGTGTTTATAGACACGACAAGAATCTCGAACCTCCAGTCATCGCACAATTCACACTGGGAAGGATTTTCTGAAAAAGTGAACATCAAACCTCCATGTTTGTTTTCCCAGTGGGATGTGTCTATTGACAAAGTCGAACCATTTCACTTTTGTTTCTGGTTCTGATATTGTCATATTTTAGTTTTGGGATTCGGACGTCGTAATTGTTGTGGTTGTTGGATCCAAACAGCGGAAAACGACTCGAGAAATGTGTTTGTGAACTTCATAAATGTAAAAGTGAATCAGATGTGTGTGACTCAAACCTCCGTTCAAACTGTTTCTCTTCCCAACGGAATTGAAAAATAGTGAAAGGTGAAGGTGATGGGCAGGATTGATCCACAGGAAGAACCAAAAAGGAAACATTTGTCTGAGTAAGAAATCATCCCGAGTTTACAGAGAACATTTTGTATGTGGAGCGACGACAAAACAAAATCCTGATCGTTCGTTAATGTAGAGGAGCAGAAAGACAAACGGATGTTTCTGTAGTTCAGTTGTTGTTGCTCCTCTACATTACAAAATGTTCTCTGTAAACTCGGGATGATTTCTTAGTCAGACAAATGTTTCCTTTTTGGTTCTTCCTGTGGATCAATCCTGCCCATCACCTTCACCTTTCACTATTTTTCAATTCCGTTGGGAAGAGAAACAGTTTGAACGGAGGTTTGAGTCACACACGTCTGATTCACTTTTGCATTTATGAAGTTCACAAACACATTTCTCGAGTCGTTTTCCGCTGTTTGGATCCAACAACCACAACAATTACGACGTCCGAATCCCAAAACTAAAATATGACAATATCAGAACCAGAAACAAAAGTGAAATGGTTCAAAAGACTTGAAAAGATCGACTTTGACAAATCAAACATGGAGGTTTGATGCTCACTTTTTCAGAAAATCCTTCCCAGTGTGAACTGTGTGATGACTGGAGGTTCGAGATTCTTGACGTGTCTATAGAAAATCTGACCACTAAACTAACGATGTGTACGTCAAGAGCGACACTCCGCGTTCATCACAACTGAACCACTCCCCACTTTACTTCAGTTCCTTTACTTTTCACACGTTCAGGGGGGTGCACCGTTCCTGGAGGCGCTGCAATACCAGGTCGATGCGCGGAGTGGACGGAGCAAGCCCCTGTTCCATCTCCCGGTTCCAAAAATCAATTTAATATATGGTCCCCGGGTAGGGGACGTATCAGATATTAAACTGATAAGAACAGATACTACACTTGATCTTAGCCAAAAGGCCGAGAAGCGATAACTACAAACTGTCTGCGTGTCTGAAGCCACTCTCCGCCACACCGACCTCAGTCACGACGCAAATATATACGTACAATTAAAAACATTTCTTTAAAGCGTTTCCGTGTGGTTGCCGTAAAGCAGAGAACATAACAACACGAATGCGCCTATTTGAAATGAATGAAGTGACCTAAAAAAAGCGCTATTTTTTGAGTTTTAAAGCAAATTGGAACCGCGTTGCAACATTTCCGGGACACGTGGTGCGCCATCGTCCAATCACATTCAAGATAAGACAAGAAGATACGATTAAACTAAAAATACTCTATAAAACGCGCAAATTACAGTTGGTTCATGGGATTACTCTTATGGAAATGTTGTTGGTGTCGTTATTGGTTTATAAAATGGATATAAAAGCGCTGTTTGAAGCCTTTCTAAGCGACCGCCTCTCTCCCCCGGGAACACAACATGCGCGACAGACAAGATCTGCCCCTGCAGTTTTAATTAGAGCTTTTCTGTTCACCAAGTCACTTCGCCTTTTGAATTTAGACAGTTTCATTTTAGTTGTCGATGAAAACACATTATAGACAGAAATTATAGAATCTGTTGGCGCCCATTGACGTTGTAATGACTTTTTTGTTCTTCGTACTTTGACATGCAAATTACAAATAATTTGGGCTGAAAGGAGCGTCCCTCTCTTGTTACAAACATACGGTTAGTTTGACTCAACTTGCTCAACCACGGAACAAAAACGAGATATGCAATGGACTTACAAAACAAAATTCTACTGTAGGCCTGTCAGTTGAAATAGCTACTTTTGACAAGTTTCTAATCTTTTATCAGTAGGCTGTTTTATTATTTTTTGTCTCATTTCAAGTGACACAAGAAATTTAAACGGCTTAATAAAGTTGCATCGTCGTCAAAATCTTACCTGGAGTTGCGTTTTCTTAATTCGCACGTGTAACTTCAGTAATTCTGCACGTTCACTCCGTCCCCTGGCTGCTTTTTCTCCCAAGTCATTCTCCATAAAGTTCCTTGTCTTTTTATATTCCACGTCTTCTATCTGACCCAAGTTTCTCCGTGAATCCGCGCAGGAAGTGCCAAAGAGCATTAAATACATTTGTTTTTAGCTCATACTGACGACTTTTGGGTTTAAATACAGTGGATCTCTGTCGCCATCTGGTGGTGATGTATAAAACTACACGTGATAGAGCGAAGGCTGCAGTGGATATTTTCTCTACATACAGAATCAAGTTGTACTAAAGGATGGAGGATGCTGGTGGAGGGCCTGCCATCTTTTTGTCTTGTGGATATGTTTTTGCTTTGTTTGGAATGTTCCACATTAGAGTGTGGATCGGGACGATTTTTTTCTGTCCAAGACCGGCTCGGGTCTGACAGAATGATCGACTCTGACCGAACGCTATCTTATTTTATTTTACTGGTTTTATTATTTTAAGACTAGTATGATTATTTTAGTAGTTTATTTTATCATTTTATTATTGTTGTTATTATTATGTATTTGTGCAGAACTTTGGAAACTGTTTGTTTGTGAAATGTGCTATAGAAATAAAGTGGATTTGATTGGATCCCAGCACAATTAAAATCACACTATCACGATATAGTTCCTCACGTGTGTCTGCAGATGAGCGATAGTGACTCTACTTCCTGTGTATTTTATCACCAATCTTTTATGCTTTAAAAATCATTTATCTGAAGTATTGCTCCACATTTCACAAATAATAATGACACAGTTTGCCTTGTATCTAAACTAGAAGTGCAGAGCTCTGACCTTTTGAACACTTAAGAGTTTGAAAGCGAGTGGTTTTACTGTAGACAGGAAGCAGTTGACGCTCACAACTTTATAGTCTTGTGGTCTGCAGACATTAAGTCTCATAAGATTCTGCGCGTGTCTGTGGTGTGCACTTTTTGATGTACGTTTAAAAATCATTTAAGACCAAAACATCCTGTAGTGTGTGGCGACCTTAAGTTGTTTTTAATTTTACATTTCAAATGTCTTATCGCGCTGATGTATCAGAGTCCGACCCAAGCCCAAACATAAGTTCTAAATATTTGTCCGAGTTCGATCAAGCCTGTCGGGTTTCAACGAGTCCCACTGGACTTTGGTCGGGTTTCCATGTTGTCTTCCACATCATGGCATTAAAGTCCATCTCCATGGAGAGGAGCATCTGATGCCCCATACCAGGTTACAGATCAGTTTAGTAGAGATATGTTTTTTGTTCTGAGAGATGTTTTTTGTTTTGTCATTTAGCAATGAAACTGGATTGAATAAAAGCAAGACAGAAGTTTGACGCCATAGTGTGGAATATTCCAAACACATCAGTAACATGAGGCAAGCAGGTGGTGGACCCTCTACCAGAAAAGTTTAATGTTGCACCTTTAACTTGTATATATATATTCATTTTTTTCCCAGTCTTCCTCTGCACTCACCTCCTCCTCTTCCTCCCTCAGAGCTGGCATGGTGCTGATGGACAGCGTTACAAACAGCACGGACAAACAGGCGAAGATCTTCCCAGGCAGTCCCGAATGTGGCCGCTCCACCATGTCCCTCAGCTGACCCATGCACCTGTTCACCCTCGTCTCCTTGGGACCATCTCTGCTTCTGTATCCAACATCTCCTCCTCTGCCCTCTCCAACGCCTCTAATTCCTCCAGTCGCTGCACCAATCTCCGCCTACAACACCATTCTAAGTTATCTTCAGGAACACCCCAGCACAGCAGCTCCTCTCTGAATGAAAGCGCACACATGTGTCGGACCGCGCGTAATTTCCCTGCCCGGCAGGATGGTTCTGAAGGCACACGGACTGCGGTCGAAGAAGAACTCATTATGGGCGACATCGTAGTTGTCGCAGATTTGCATGATGTCATCGAAGCTGCTGCAGAGGCGACGCTGGCCCAGGCGAGACAGAGGGAAGTCCTCCAGGTTGGTCCAAGGGAGCGGGTACCTCAGCCCACCCACGTTTATGATGGCGTAGAGCCGGCGAGCGCTGGACAGAGGGAGGCCTGAGAGAGAGGAGAAGTTAAGTCTTTGAACATGACTTATTCACATCAACTGGCAGACGGGTTAAATATATCTTATAATGAAGTGTTTGCTTGGTTGTAGAAATGTGTAAAAGAGATATTGTGCATACAAAGGAAAAGAGTAGAACCAAAACACAGGCACAGGAAACAGGAACTAAACGCTAGAAAACACGGATGCTAACCGTAGATGGCTTCAGTCAAATGAAGCTCATGATGATAGCTTTTACAGGAGTAAATTTTGAACCAAGTTCCATATTAGGAATTGATTTATGGACAAAATAGCAAATTAAAAACACCAGGATCATGTTGAGTGGTTTAATACAAACTTTTTAAGACCAAAATGACAAGGCTCAGAGCAGCAGTTACCAGAGGTTGGGACATGCAAGTTGTGACTTGGACTCGAGTCAGACTTGAGTCACTATTTTTAGGACTTGAGACTTGACTTGATAAAATGGACTAAGACTTGGGACTTGACTCGAACTTGAAGCCTGTGATTTGAGAAGCACTTTTAAATCTGAATTCTTTCTATTTTGACCATAATGATTCACACTAAGATCTTGTCAAAACATTTAAAAAGGAAAGATTAACATTTCTACAACTTTTATATTATTGTATAAATACTCACATATAAATATACTTAGATTTTTTAAGTACAATTTATCTTAAAAGTCATATAGATTGCAAAAATCTAAGCTATATTTGGTACGTTTAAAGACTTAAAATAATTTGAAGCTCAAAGCAGACGACTTGGACTTGACTTGGACTTGCCTGTATTTGACAGAGAGAGTAAACAATATTCCAGTGTAAAGTCCATTGAAGCCAGAGTCGATGGAGCCAGAAACACTCCCATCAACACTACTTCCTATGTGGAGCGTGGAGGCTAACAGGTTTAATTATGTCCATATAAATACAGTCTATGCTGCTAAAGTTAATTATAGCCACTTTGTGTGAACTATGTCACTTTTCTGGTGGAAGGTTCACCATCCTGCTGTCTCCATGGAGACGTTATTGCTTTGCCAAGATGTTCCACAGAATAAATAAATAAAAGTAAGAAAGGTATTTTGTTGGCAAGATATTTGGCAATAAAGACAAGTATTTTTAAAGAAATACAAAATGAAATGAAAATAAAAGTTACTGATAATGTGTGCTTTGAAATGATTAGAACTGTCTTGACCGTGGTTTAGGAACATTAAAAACACAGTTGAAGTTCACTGATACGTATGAGATGCCACCGTGAAGGCAGAGAGCAGAAGGAGACTGCACCTGTACCTGTGCAGAGCTGAGGAGCCCGTCTGGCCCTGCTGTAGGACACGCCCTCCTGAGGCTCGAGCTCGTGGAGAGGGGGAGGGTCTGACGCACAGCTCACCGCACTGTAGTCATACTCAGAGCCCTCTCCAGCCAGCAGAGTCATCTTCACTGCATCTTCACTGCACCATGTTCACTGAGTCATCATCACTGCGCTGCATCTACACTCAACCATCTTCACTTCATCCTGGAGTCAGCAGCTGCTCACACAAACCTGAAGAAGCCCCCCTGTGGGGGCGCGAGGCTCCGTCAAGGGGGGCGCGTTTGACCTCGGGGAACATGCTTTTTTAATTTTTTATTTATTTATTTTTTTACTGTCCTAGAATAAAGTGCAATTGCACTTCCACTACATTAGGGGGCAGTGGCGCTCTCATTGGCAGAGTGTGCGCAGGGAGCATTCGGGAGAGTTGCTGTGTCCTGCTTCGAAAAGCTGTGCATTGCAAAACGTGCTCATTGTAGCCATTAATCCAGACATCATCTTTGATTTAAAAAAAATCTGCACAAATTATTTTATATATTTTTGTTTTGCAGGTCAAAGTTTTTTTTAATATTCTGCTCCTGAGTTAATGTTGGTGATCAGTTTGAATGCATTATTATTTATTGATTTTATGTAATTTTATGACAGAAAATAATTGAGAAGCACTGTACTAAAGTAAGATAAAGGTGTATTTATTGGTTCCTTGGAATGTTGACAGTACAGAAGGGAAACAGAACTAAGAGGTATGGAGAGTCTATCTTATGTGTCATGGTCTTTTTGACAACACACACAGAAATGAGTTCATCCCAAAGACAAGACGCCAACACAAAAACAGAGGAATGTAGTGTGTTCTAGAAAGCTGCAATTAACATTACATTGGAAGCCAAATAACCACTACACAATAACCAGCTGTTACGGCCCCCGACTTGTTTTGTGTGTTTTAATTTCTTTTGCTGTTCCTCCTGATTTCTGCTGTGAGAGTCTTGGTCCCTGATTGGTGGGGCACTTCTACACTTGGCCAATTCTGCCTCAACTTGTAGCTGTTTTCCCCTATTTAAGAAGATTCCCAACATGTTTTGGGGCTGCTGGGATTTCACTTGA